GGGACAAGGTGATTGAGAAGCCTCGCCATGGATTATTGGGCCTTCTTTCCCATCTCCTCCAAACCAGAGCAATGGTCACTAAGTGGCCAATTCGTCATCTTTTGGCACCTGCTGAGGCCACATGGCGTAGATTAAAGACGTGGTTGATCTTGGTTTAGATCTTTAAGAAGATGTGAAACTTGCCCTTTTAACGCCCTTCTTTTGTCGTAAAAGATTGCAGTCATCTGTTTGGAAAAATATAGTGGTTGAGTGGAGAAAGGTTCTTCCCTGGCCTGATGACACATTAAAAGATGCTGCTGATTTTCCTGAATTCTTTCCTCCTTCAGAACTTGCGTTGGTAGATCTTCAGTGGTATGGGAGAGAGGAGGAATAATAGTGCAAATATACTGTAATCTGAAAATCATCTAGGTAGATATGAGAGGAATGCTAGTAAGTTATAGATGGATCAGGCGGTTCTTATAGAGCTGAAGAGGCGGACCTCTACTCAGTCGGTCTATGGTTAAAACACAAAGGATTTATTGTTCTAGGGACGCTGGACCCTATTTCCAGCAGGAGTCTGGTCCCACCTAACGTTGTTGAGTTTAGAAAACTCAACGGTGTGACGCCATTTCTGCATTAATAAATTCAAAACAAGAAATTCAAAAACTGAAAAAAACGCTAGAAACAGCTTTTCTCCTTATTTTTTTAAATGTAACTCGGAGAAATGAAACATGTCTGGAACAGTCGGAGTGAAAGTCTCCGTGAAAAAGGGATACTCCCCGTGGTGAGGGGACAGGAGGTCACCATTTGTAAAATGGACAGGGACGACGTGGATGGCCAAATGCATTCATTGCCCAAAGAACAAAAAAAAGGAAAGGCACTGCCGTTGAGAAATGTAACCTACCCTCGGTAGGGTAGTTTTCTCAATGGAAAATGGCTTCCCGCCTAAGCCAAAAGGGCCAACGCATACTACAAAACGGATTTCACGTCAAAGAAAAATTATACAAAATGACTAAATCTAATAGGTTATTCTCCTGTATGTTGGTACCGTTAGATTCGCAATACATCAACGGCAGAGCTCCGTCCCACCATGCCACACGTGATAGAAAGCGCAGCGTTGAGAAAACTCAACGCTGTAGGTGGGACTAGACCCCAGGTGATGCTCCCCACCAATAGAATGGAGCTATT